TATATATTATTTTTTTTTAAAACAAATTTCAACTTTTTTTTTAGCTAATTTCCTAATTTTTGTGTTAATTTCTGCTAATTTATACCTAATTCAGCAAAAATGTATTATTTCTGCTTTCTTCTGCCAATTCAAGGCTTGTTCATTCATTTCAGCTACAATTCAGCATTTTTTAAGCTATTTTCAGCTGTTTTTTAGCAACTTCTTAAGCAATAAGCATTTACACTGCATTTTCGCAGGAAATGCAATTTCTCAATTTTCTATTTATTTTTTTCTTAGTTTATGGTGAAAGAAGACCAACATTTTGTTAGACATGTACATTTAGTACACACATAAGTACTAAATGCAAAGAGATAGTGCTGCCAAAGTGGTTTTCAACATGAAATAAACTCACCTTGGTGACTCCAGGTTCTGTCTGTCACTACTTTGTGGTAAAAGGTAGTTAATTTATAGCTTTGACCTATTTGTTCCTTGATACATTTGTTTGGCATTTCAGTTTATTGTTCATCACTATATTCTGAAAACTCCAAGTTTCAAAAATAAGGGAAAAGTCAAAATCATATTTCAAGTGTCTGCAAAACGATGAGATGGATTTATTATCTGTAAGTTTGTACATGTACAAATTCCCAGTAAAAAAACTAAAACCAGAAGGACAGGTTTATCTGGAAATGCTCTAGCGAGAGCTACAATTAGTTACAAGTCAATCCTGAAATCATTTATAAATTTTAGTCAACTTAATTGGATGAAAAATCTACTAGTTTTTGCTGAAAACTCTTCGGGGTGCGTATTGTCGTCAGTTGTTGCCATTCGATGGCACAACTTTATATGTATGATCTCAAGTTTAGGGTGAGGCGAGGACTCAAACCCTTTTCCTATTTTTGGTTCTCAGGAAATGCCAGGCTGTATAATTGCACACAAATGACATTTCTTTTTCTGTTACACTAGATAATGGAAATTGGGCAGAATAAGCTACGTAACATAAAGTGTGCATCTTTTCTGCTTCATCAGAATTGTGGCAACAACTCAAATGCAGCCAACAGATGCCAGGAAAGCCTTCCCCTGCTTTGACGAGCCGCTCATGAAAGCTGTTTTCTACATAACTCTGATCCACCCTCAGGGGACTGTGGCTCTGTCCAACAGCATGAACTATGGCAAGTTCCTCTTATCTGGCAAACATATTGTTCCTGGCTAAAGTGAGCCTGAGAATGTTGCTTTCTCAATTTCACATGCAGATTATTGTTGTAGGTTACTGATTGTATTCTGATCCACAAATGCAGATAGCCTCTCTGAGTCTGCTGTTGTTTTTGATCCTGTGTAGAACCTGTGAACGTCACTATGAACGGGGAGATTTTAATTCAGACCAGCTTTGAACCCACGGAGACCATGTCGACCTACTTGTTGGCTTTTGTTGTGTGTGATTTTGCGTACATTGGGACGACATCGGATGCAGATGTTTTGGTAAATATATTGTAAAGCGCATCATCCAAAACACAAAAATGTGAAATAAATAATTCAATTCAGTTTATTTATTTAGCACCAAGTCACAACAGAAGTCATCTCAGGGCACTGAACAGAAACATTCATATATAAAAATAATAATAACATAAAAAAAAATAAAAAAAATAATAACATTATCTGAGGAGCAGAGTGCTTTGAATTCAACGCCATCACAGACTCATCTTGAACAAGCATGAAGGCGACAGTGGAAAGGAAAAACTCCCTCATGAGGAAGAAACCTTTGGCAGAACCAGGGTCAGGAAAGTCCATCTGCTTCAATCGGCTGGGTTTGAGAGGAACAGGAAATGAAAACTATTCAATTGTAACAATTAATTTAAGGAAATTAGGTCAATTTGCCGTCTAGTATAGTCTAAGTCTATGACAGCATACAAAGTCAACCCGAACTATAGGATTGATCAAAAAGGAAAGTCTTAATCCCAGTCTTAAAACTGGACAATGTGTCAGCCTCACGGACAGAAACTGGAAGTTGGTTCCACAAGAGATGAGCCTGATAACTGAAAGATCTTCCTCCCATTCTGCTTTTGGAAACTCTAGGAACCGCAAGTAAACCTGCAGTCTGAGAGTGGAGTGCTATGTTGGGAAAAAAGTGGAACAATAAGATCTTTACTATAAGATGGAGCTAGGTTGTTGAGAGCTTTGTAGGTTATAAGTAAGATTTTGAATTCAACTCAGAATTTGACAAATAAATAAATCTCTTTTAACACCTACCTGAGACACTGATAAATGGATAAAGTTATGCAGTTCTGCCTTCCAAAGTCTGTCAACATTTGATGAGCATGTCTACAGAGTTGATGACTTCTAGAAACACTGATGCAAAGTGTGAGATGGAAAAAAATCACAGCACATAAAAAATAATAACATAGACTCATTATTAACCTTAGTCTGGGGAGATACCATTTGAATTTTTTAAGGAAATGCATTAAACTTAAGATGATCACATTTTATTTTTTTCTTAGTTCCTTTAATACATTTTATAAAAGCAACACCAAAATGTAAAACAGTTAATATTTTGGGTCATGGTTCTGGTCCTAGAATAGTTAATTCTGCACTCCAGTGATTGCTCACATACATTTTCATTATAACAAATGATGGACCTAACAGTCACATTTTATCATAAATAAAGCTGTGCTGCTCTCTGCAAGACTCTAATCTCACCTCAATTCTCTGGTCTGCCACTGTTTTATTGAAATACCTTTTGTTAACTAATCCAGATTAGGATCTGGGCTCGCAGGAAGACCATAGAGGAAGGACAAGGCAACTATGCACTGGAGAAGACTGGACCAATATTGACATTTTTTGAGAACTACTACAACTCTTCTTACCCTTTAAGAAAATCAGGTAAGAGTTCACAGAAAAATATTATGGTCAATTTATTTATGTCCCTTATTTTTCTCGAGGCTAATCTTTTAGCTGTAAACATGTAGAAAATGACAACACAGCAACTGTTAGAAAACATGACCTGCACTGATCTTTGTGTTGGTGGTTTTAGACCACATTGCTCTTCCTGACTTTTATGCTGGAGCCATGGAGAACTGGGGTCTGGTCACCTACAGAGAGACTTCCCTCTTACACAATCCTGAGGTGTCTTCTAATGAAGACAAGGAGTGGGTGGCATTGGTCATCTCCCATGAGCTGGCTCATATGGTATAACACTGAATAATGGGTATTGCCTACCTCTTGTAACTGTAAGTATGTCTTACTCAAAGAGTGTGAAAGTGTTCAAGAACTGACTGAAGCTCTGTCGTCTCAGTGGTTTGGAAACTTGGTGACCATGAGGTGGTGGAATGACCTGTGGCTCAACGAGGGCTTTGCCACCTACGTGTCTTATCTTGGAGTTCACTATGCTGAACCGGAGTGGAATATGGTGATTTTATCTTATGCATTTATTTGATGAGAAACTGGAAGTCTTTACTGGAAAACATTTTCTACATTTCACTGTTTAATTTCCAGAAAGACCTGATAGTTTTGTTTGAGATCATTGATGTGATGGCTGTGGATGCTTCAGCCACCTCCCACCCCCTCTCATCGGAGGAGGAAGACATCATGACTCCAGAGGACATCAGCAGCATGTTTGACACCATCACATACAGCAAGGTGAATCATTGTATATCACCACATTACTCAGCAAGATCCTAAATCTCAGTGAATGAATTTGACAAATTACAATGTAATTCAGGGCGACTCTCCCAAGAGCCAGTGCAATGACATCATCAGGACTGTTTATTCTGCCATAATGGATGGCAATATGCTGTATATTAAATAAAGTGACACAATTTTAACAAAGCATTGGTACACATATAGGTGGCCATGTAGCTATTATCCTCAGGCAAAGGCCAGAGTGAGACCTTCATGTTGGAGAATGAATCCATACACAGCTGTTGTCAAATCTCACCCAAAACTCTTAGTAGGATGCTAGGATTTCACACAGAGGAATAGAGACAGGCATGCTGAGGCAGGTTTGGGCGTGTGAGTGGGCTAAACTCTTTTTAAGGCAGTGGGATGACCTGCATCGGGAAGGTAATCCATCACTGAGAAACAATTTATCCAGAAAAGAAGAGGCCTCACTAAAGCCTCCTAAAAAGTGGCAGGAGGGAGGGCAGACAACTAGGAACCCCAAGAAGTTTTATCGTCTTCTTAGCGTTCCACCAGAACCATACTTGAAACCAGTAAAAACAATCAGAAGACTTCATTAATTCAACCCTGGCAATATTTTGCTGGTTTGTCTGTTTGACTAAATGCACCCATAACAATTTGTGCAGTCTATGAGCCAGTCTTTTGTGCTGAATTAAGGGTAACATTTTTCACTTCTAACAAGAATCACACAATCTCACAATACATTAAAGAAAACTTGACAAAAACAATTCTCTGACGAAATCTGCACAGGCTCTATAGGAGCTGGGAAGAGACAATGTTAGAAACATTTTGCAATTGTATAATACATGTTTCTTACAGAGACATCTAATGGGTTTAAATTTTTCATTACAGGGTGCCGCAGTCCTCAGAATGCTCTCAGGGTTTGTTACGGAAACAGTGTTTTCTGAAGGACTACATGTGAGTTGAGATAATCAAACTGATGAGCATCAGTTGGCACTAAAATCAACAAGAAATTAGCACTGTTGTAATTAATGTGTTTACAGCAGAAACAGTTTTTCATCACAGAAATGATTTGAGTATAACTAAAGGTGTGGATCTGTCTGCAGATGTATTTAGAGGAGTTCCAGTATCAAAACACAGTCTACAAAGACCTGTGGAAGCAGCTGCAGATGGTAAGAGAAAACCATTATTGTAGTACAGTATTATAATATTTGTGACCCAAGTTGTATGTAGAGTTATTGGCAGCTATAGTGCATAATTAATTGCATTTTGTCAAAATGTGGTGGATCTATTGGTCCTTTGAATAAAACTCCCCAAATATAAGCCAAAAACATTGTGAAGCACTTTTCTATACCAACAAATACAGTGATTTTACACAGAAAAGCTTAACATTTTTTGCTACTTTGTGCAATAGCAAAAGTTTTGGGATTTTTTTCTAGCTGTGAAATCCCAATATCCTGATATGGTTTGTGGTTTCCTCTTTCAATTGACGCCAGAAGATTTTTATTGGAACATGGAAAAAATAGGATTCTAACAGATTTTCCAGGGGTTGTACTGATTAGCAAGACAAATCAAGCCTTCACTTTGAAAAAAATTGTCAGGATGATGTAGCTATCAAAATGTAGCTTATAAGCCAAGAATTAGAAAATCTGATTTTTTTTTTGTCCAAATTTGACTTAATCCTCAATTCAATTTTATGGGTAACATTTGTCAGTGATGTAAACAGAATGCTGCATTCAAGACAACTTGAAAAAACTGGACAAACCACATCCCATATTGATCTAAAACAGACTGCACTATTTTAATGACAAATACAGGACAAATCTATATATTTTTTGTCTTTTTATTAAGCTTTATTTTTTTTTTTTTTTTACACAAACACACACAAAAAATAAAAAAGTAAAAAAGAACACAGAACCAAATACCTTCCCACCCCTCCCATACCAGATCAGTCACACATATATAAATAATCTATACAGGCATTGACATGTTTTCAACATGTGACAGAAAGGGCTGCCAGGTGTCCCAGAATCTTCCTGCAGGACCCTTAAGGGTATATCTGATATGGTACATGACTTCTCTTGTCCAATGAACATATGCTAGTGGGTGTGGGTCCTTCCAACTGCACCAAACCAGTCTTTCGGCCAGAAGAGAGCCCAAAGCAATCACATCCTTCTTGTACATGCTGAAGGACATATCCACATGGACCACCCCACACAGTGAGATGAATGGTGACACAGTTTTGCTACATATCCCAGAGAAGGTGTCAAAAATAGATTGCCAAAAAGTCAGCAGTTTGGGACAGGTCCAGAATGTGTGCAGGAGTGTAGCTGGAGTTTGTTTACAATGATTACATGCGGGGTCCAGGTCGGCTTTGATCTTGGACAGCTTGCCGGTGCACTAACTTAAATTGAATTACATCATGTCTCAGACAGATTGAAGATGAGTAAATGTTTTTAATGATCTTTTGTCAGATTGAGTTTGATAACAAATCTATATTTTCAGGAATGTGTGGCAAAAAAAATGTTTGAGACATCAACTAGTGGGAACAAATAATCTGGGGTGTAACACTCACAAAATATTAAAATATTGTTTCTTGTCATTAGGCGGTAGATAAAGCTGGTATCTCACTTCCCCACTCTGTGGAGGATATTATGAACCGCTGGATCCTGCAGATGGGCTTCCCAGTGGTCACCATTAACACCCAGACAGGAAACATCGTTCAGCAGCACTTTTTGTTGGACTCAGAGTCTGTGGTGGACAGACACTCAGTGTTCAAGTATGGATCCAGTCACTCGTGATTCAGCTCAACAAGTTGATTAAATGTAGAGCACGTTATACTGAATGTATGTGTTCTCTTTGTGTGTTGTCTCTATTCATTTTCATACGTGACTGGATGGTTGGGGCTAAAGCTACGAGTGGTTCATCCCCATCACCTGGATCAAGACTGGTCAAGCCGAACAGCAGTACTGGCTTCTCGACAAAGAAGGTAGAAATTATTCCCAGAGTAAAAGTGATGAGCACTATGTGGGAATGCATGTTCATGTTTGATCTCCACTCCCAACAGCTACAAACGCAGACATGGCTCTTGGTGCAAGTGAGTGGTTGTTGGCCAACATAAATATGAAGGGCTTCTACAGAGTCAACTATGATGCTGACAACTGGGAGCGGCTACTTGCCAAGTTGAGCTCCAACCATCAGGTGCAAACATTTATATTACCAATGCATTCAGGGGACACAGCCTCAAAGTTACGTCAGCATTTTAAATAAGTTTGCAAAGTTAAAAACTAAATAAATACACTTTGTATTTCCATCTGTGATTGCACCTTGTGAGTAGCAGCAATAAAGTTGCAATATGACGCTTTTTGATGATGCAAAAATACAAGTGGGCAGGAATAAGGTACTGTTTTATATGGACGTGCAGTCTAACGGACTAAGCGTGCCTCTAAAATGTCTTCATTCACTGTGTAGGACATCCCAGTGATCAACAGGGCTCAGATTATTGACGATACTTTCAATCTTGCAAGGTGAAGCCATACATATTTTTTATTTTTTTATTTTTTTTATAAAAGCTTGCAGCTGTGTTCTGCTGAATAAAACCATTGACCAGTTTAATTGTCATTTTCAGAGCAAAGATGGTGAACACAACCCTGGCTCTGAGGACGACCACATATCTACATAAAGAAGTTGAATTCATGCCCTGGGAGACAGCCAGGCGTAACTTGGGTTATTTCTTCCTTATGTTTGACCGCAGTGACGTGTATGGACCCATGCAGGTTTGGGGACAAAAAAAATTTAAACATTCTGATGAGCATTTTCAAATGTGGTTGAGAAAACATTTTATTTTGAAAACTCTAGATATTTTATGATATGCCGTGCAAATAAAAAGAAATAGGCTTTGTTGCATTTTTGAACAAACTTATAAATATACCTAAAGTTGTATCTTCGTCCCTCAGGCCTACATCAGAAAACAGGTCACTCCTCTGTTTAAATACTTCCAACATCAGACGCTCAACTGGACAAAGATCCCCCCAAAACACACCGATCAGTAAGTATGCTACCATGCTGCGTATTTATGTCTGATTCATGCTTTTAAGAACATATTGCTGCATCAATCTTTGAGAATAATCTTCCTTGGATCAGTTTGTGCATTTTAAATTGGACCATTTTCCAAGTAAAAATAACACCTAATAACCAACGAGACTATAGTTCAGCAAGTACTGTGTCTACGTTTTATTAAATACATTTAATCCTCCCAAACAGTTCCCCACTTAACATTGACTTATTTTAAAGCTCTTACCTAAGGATTTTGTATGAGTTGTTAGCAATCAGTATGCTACCTGGAGTAGACAGAAGTCAGAGAACTAATATTTACTCAGAAACTTCTCTTTATATTAAAATTGAGAAGAAACTAAATTTTGAATGCATTTTATCCTTTGTACCAGGGGTCTGCAAGCTTTGCAATAAAAAGAGCCATTTTTGCCAGTTTGCTTACTAATATGCATCATAGTTGCAAAACCTGCTGTCAACTGGTGGAACGTGACCCACTACTGGTTTGCTGGAGATGGCTTTTCCAGCCAGTGCGGATGATATTATAAAATGAAAAATGTCTGACTTTTATTAACATTTATTGATATTTTTACATTTTATTACAAAAGAAAAAACAGATTCATGTAAAGAAAGACTTTTTTTTAAAACAATTTTATAAAAATTAAAACACTGAACTCTGCAGGCTGATGTGAGTTCTCTTAATTGTCGAAGAATTAAGTATCCTACTTAAAAACAGTACCATATAAAATTAGGACAGTTTGTTGAATATCCAGTTACATTTTTAGAGAAAAAATACTTTTGTTCCAAAACATTCTGGTGACTTTGAGAGAAAGATCACACTGTGAAACTGGAAACTGACTTAAAGTGGCTAACAAACTACTAGCATGATGCAGTCCACATGTTTTACAACTTGTACAGTAGTTCCTCGTTTATCTGAAGCACCGCGATAAGTGAAAAACCGCAAAGTAGGAATAGTAGTACAAGTAATAAGTAGTAGTTTATTTTAGCATATATATATATATATATATATATATATATATATATATATATATATAAAAAGGTGTTTTAAACTCTTCCCACACTTGCAATATTCTAAACAATGTTTCTAAACGATCTAAAAGAGCACAGAATGTCATGATTTCAGCTCGCTGCCTCAACTGTACTGCCACCTGCCGCTCTTGGCCACGCCCATTTCTCCACTGCACAGAGATCAGCTGATCAGCTGCAGGAAAAAGCTTCTCCTGCAGCTAGGGCTGCACACAGGTGCTAAAATATTTAAAATAATTTATTTTAAATAAAAATCCCATGCCGATCGTGCAACTCATCCATCAATCAGCCATTTGTTTGTCATGTCCAGTCTTATTTTGAAAAACCGCAATAGAGCGAGTCTGCAAAAAAACAAACTGCGAAGTAACAAGGGACTACTGTATTTGTAGTATTGTTCACATAATTATTTGAAAATAACAAGAAATCTGCTAAACCCGTTTTTGAACCCATCCAGAGGACCTGACTTTACTTTTTTAGATTTTTCTACCTGGATTATTGAGCATGCATCAGGAAATCTGCTAAAACTTGCCATTTTCATTGTTGGCAATAATTTAAATAAAATTATGTTTTATTTTAGTTTTGGTCTAAACCTGGAAGAGCTGCTGCAGAGGTACCAAAGAGCCACATGGTTGCAGACCCCTGATCTAAAGGATATGAATTTATCGTGAGGTAGCATTTTGCTTCTCAGAGTCTCACAGAGGCAGAGTAGCTCTAAACCACTTGTTTGGTTATGTCTTATTTGACTGGACTGCTGATAAATTTTACTGTCTTATTTTACTGAACTGATTGTCAATTATACATTTCCCCTCATCCTTGTCTCATCACTGTTCAGATATAATCAGGTGAATGCGATCTCTTTGGCCTGTAGTGCAGGCGTTAAAGGCTGCAGAGAACTGACAACTGGTTGGTTCAAAGAGTGGATGAACAACCCTACAACTAACAAGTAAGGGCTTACTGATCAGAGAAGTTATTATTCAAGCATTTTTATCACTTTGTTTTCACTGGATTTCCTTTTTGGGCATTTTCTAGATAACATCTTTCTGTCTTTACCTTTCAGGATTAATCCAAACCTGAAGTCCACTGTGTACTGCAATGCCATCGCAGCAGGAGGCGAGGCAGAGTGGGACTTCCTGTGGACCATGTATAAGAATGCTACCATTGCCTCAGAGGCCAGAAAAATTATGCATGCTCTCGCCTGCACCAAGCAGCCCTGGCTGCTGAACAGGTCAGACAGCTACGTTAGAAATTCTTTTGCTTTTCTCATCATACGTTCTGGAACATGATCTCAGTTGTTCAGCTGACTGAAACGTTTCTTTATTTTTAGTTATCCTTTTTTTATAACTCTTTTGTTTGTGCCAGGTACCTGCAATATTGTATGGACCCAGAGAAGATCCGAAAGCAGGATGCTGCTTCTGTTATTGCTAAGATTGCTAATAACCCTGTTGGCCAATATATGGCTTGGGACTTTATTAGAGCAAACTGGGAACACGTATTCATTGAGTGAGTTTTTTTATACAATGCATGAATTATTTGTGCAGTATTTGTTACTTGCAATAAATTGATAAAAGTGAGATGTTAGTGCAAAAGCTCCCGCGAGGCAAGAAAAATGACAAAATTTTGGAAAAAGAAAAGATTTCAAGCTGGACTTTGACAGTCTTGAATGACTATTTCATAATATTCTGCAAAAACTCAAAGCTCTGTGATTTTTGCTGTTTCTTCAGATATGGTGGAATATCACTTTCACCTGGATCTATAATTCCTGAACTGACCAAACGTTTCTCTACTGAGTTTGAATACAAACAGGTACCGTTTCTATAAGCCGACGGTTCGGGTTTTCATGCAGAAATGTCTCAGAGGGACATTTTTTTCTGATTTTTGTCTTTATTTCCACCCACCTCCTCTTCAGCTGCAGCAGTTCCAACAAGACAACGCAGAGCAGCTGGCCCCTGCAGCTGGATACTTTGACCTGGCCCTGGAGAAAACCAAAGCCAACATGAACTGGGTGGCCCTGAACAAGAAACCAGTTCTTGACTGGCTCATCAGTGAAATCTCTTAAGTGTTTACATCCAAATGGTCTGTTGCATTAAAACCAGATATTTACATACACTGGATCAAAAGACACACAACCATTCTACTCACTCAAGCTGCTTTTCTTATGGATTTAAATCAGACTAAACTTCTCCTGCTTGTTAAAAAGCCAAAAAAGGCAGAGGGATTTTTATAATTTTTATTTTTTTACTACTTTCTTTAAAGTTTTGCATTCATTAGGATTGCTATAGCTTTAAACAATTCGGGAAAGCCCAGATGATGATGTCATGGCTTGGGAAGTGTTAGTTGACAACGTTTGAGTTCATTGGAGGGACACCTGTGGTTGTATTTTAAGGCATACCGCCATCACACTGCTTCTTCATGTGACATGATGAGAACATGAAATGAGCTGAAATATCAGGAAGAGAGAAGCTGCCATACATATTTGTTCAAACAGTTATGTGCAAACATGGGAACATCCTGCCATCATACGGCTCAGGAGCCGTACTGTGCCCTTGAGGTGAATGTGTTTTAGTGTGAAATGTGCATATCAACCTCAAAGACCTTGCGACAATGCTGCTGGAGCTGGTAAGAGAGTGTCATTACCCACAGGGAGCTTGACACGGGCTGAAAGGCCACTCGGAGAGGAAGAAGCCATAACTCCCAAAGCAATGCCAGATTACAGTTTGCAGATGTCCTGCAGCCTGATGAACCTAGAACTGAACTGTTTGTCCTTCATGACATTATTACATTTAGAGGAAATAAGGGGAAGCTTTCAAGCCTGAGAACACCATCCCAACAGTGAAGTATGGGGGTGGCACATCATGCTGTGGGGTGTTTAACTGCAGGAGGGACTAATGCACTTCACAAAATAATGTGACACGATGAGGAAAGAACATAATGTGGAAATATTAAAGTCTCAAGACATCAGCCAGGAAGTTAAAGCTTGGACATAAATGGGTCTTCCGAATGGATAAAGATGAAATTATGAGATTAGAAATTATGGTGCATACTGATTAAAATGCATGACTGCTCATCCTGAGCCTGGTTCTGCTGGAAGTTTCTTCCTGTTAGAAGGGAGCTGTTCCTTTCCACTGCTGCAAATGTGCTGCTCAGGATGGGATATCATGAGGAATTGAAAATTCAACACAATCTGCTGGATAGCTTTTTACTAGCTAACATGGATGCTGTTGTACAAAGCCTTGAGATGACTTCGTTGTAAATTGGTGCCCTACAAATAAACTGAATGGAATGACAACGCGTTCTCCTGTATACAGTTTTGTGAAAGAATTGTTTTCACCTTGTAACATTTGTCATCACTTGACTAACAAAGAGAAGTGAGAACACAGCAGTGGCCTTTGTTTTAAAATAAATATGAAAAAACTTCTTTTGGGCAGTATTCTAGGTCAAAGATAATCCATTATTGACCCTTTTACTAATTTAAAATCCTCCAAATTTAGGTTTACTCAGGAAGAAAAGAGCCAAATGACTAGTTCAGCTGTCACTTCTCTCAGTGGGGGTCTGTCCTTAACGTTTTTTTTTTTTTTTTTTT